CCCCAAAACCCCAAAACCCCAAAACCCCAAAACCCCAGCTTTGCAGCGAGAGGTTGGCTTATATATTATTTCTCTCTATAATTTTCAAATATGATTTTTAAAAGACCTTCCAAGAGTAAGATATTCCTTACCTTTTGCTTACTGAACCTGTAGAATCCTCCAAAGATCCAGTCAGAGCAAAGGATGATCAAGGTAAAGCTAGTGTGGATTATCTATATTGTAAATAGCTCATTTTCGTAGAGATTTTAGAATACTCTCTTAATCTCTTTGTGGTTTAGACAAGTTCAATGGCAAGCTTTATTACCATAATGAAGCTCTTTGCATTTTCTTCAATTCGTTAGTATTTTCATGTTCAAAACAAGGCTTCTGGTCCAACTATATCCATTTTAAAGATTTAGATAGAGATTTTGAAAGAGTTGAGAGTTTCAAAAAAGAGCTCTGAACACATCTTGTCCATTACTGAAGAAGGAGCTTGAACCTCCCAATATTCATATTAACTCTTACTCTCATTTAGGAACAACTCACCCTGATTTAGACCCTGAAGACTTCTGCAAATGAGATACCGTAGGTAAGAACATTAGACTTTTCATTGCTTTATTTCCTAACAAAAAGCATAAGAAAGTGTAGAACCCTCTTTAAAGCTTGAAGCATCCTTCATGGTTGTTCTGAAGGCAATTCTGCCTCTCACAAATGTTGCCAGAATCAATCGAGCAAGCAGGGATTTTCTGTCCGACTGCTCTAGCTTAGAATCGGCCAAATTTAAGCGAAAAGGAGACTTAAAGGAGATAGTTTTTGTATTAATACGCTAACACAGAAATTTTGGAAAACTAAGCTTTCAGATTTGTAGCCTTAATATGCTCTACTGCTGTAGAAGTCCCTCGAACCTAGATCATGCTCAGCATTTTTGAGAACCTTCCCTCCAGCCTCCATTGACAACTCTTTTGTGCTGACTTCGGAATATTTTGTGAAGTTGATATTTATGTTAGGAAGCCTGTTGTGAATGCTCAAACAAGATCAATGCAAATATGTGTTCTGACGCTAAAGTTTAGTCAATGTTAGAGCCCAGTAGGCTAGCGATCAACTAATTGGAAAGTTGTTTAGGGTACCAACTAGTCTACTTAAAGTCTTGCTAATCAAAATGTGGAGTGGCATCATCAGTAAAAGCAACTTTGAGATCGCTTTTGAAGCTATAAGTATCAAATATTTAACTTCCAAGTGTTCGCTATCAGCAAAATTAGCCTTGCAGTCTCTAAGACTGCTGAGAGGGCAGAGATAATTATAGATAACTCCACACTCTATTGTTAAAGATCTCATAATATGTATTTTAAGAATTTATCAATTAAATTTATGAACATTTGTTACATTTCTTCTGCTAATGAGGCTCTCTGTTAAATTCTGATGAAAATTTCTGTTATCCAGAGTCTTGTAAGACTACAAACATTCATTAACCTGCAAAGAATGCATTCTCTCTACTTTTGTTTGCGAGACTCTGAGAAATAAGGGCAGATCTATTTTCACTAGAATTTTGAGCAACATGAAACATCACTTAAACTGATCATTTGTTTTAATTTTCTCTTCGTTGTATTTCTTAAAACTCTAAAATATCCTATTCTGTTCAATAATTTAGCCCGCCAAGCAAGTTTCGCTTAGATGCATCAAATTAGGCACCAAGAGCCTTGATTTAGGGAGAATCATGGCCCAATGTACTATCCTCTAGACTTCATGTATTCCGAAATCACTATTCCACAGAGCTTCTGGCAACTACTTGCAAATTATTTGTTCTAACTTCGGTGTCCTTAATGCTCAAGAACTCATTATCAAAGTACTTATGACTTTTTCAGCAGGAGGATATAAACTGAGGGGTTTTCTGGTCAATTTTGCACTCTTTAATTTTCTCATGGTAGGCATAGCTCAAGCTCAAAATAGTGACACAAGATTCCAGAAATCTATGCTTGAAGGTAAGCCATAACTAGAAGTTGTTGATCATTGCTAATAATAAGCAACTAAAGTTTATGAGGATAGGGTCAGAAGGAAGACATTCTTCACTCTTCCTCTTTTAGAGTTTATGTAGTTAATAATTCATCAAGGATTTCAATTCTTTATCTGGACCCACTAATCTGCTAGGTTGATCAATAATAGCTTATGAATCATTTCGAACAAGACCAATGCATCCAGCAATATTTTTGGGAAATTTTACAAAAAGTTGTAAATTTGTCTTCCAACCTTTGAGACTGAAGAAATTACTGCACTCTTTACTTCCAGTGAAACCTTTTCAATTTGCACACTTCTTTCAGTGGTGGGAAAATTCAAGTGAAAGTTTATTATGAATAGAAGAGAAATCCCCAAGATCAATTTATCTGAACCTTGACCTTCTAGATTAATCTTGGCATTAGTGAGCCATCGGTGGAGTATTCCTCCAAGATAGAGTATAGTTAGCATCAGGTGATTTATATGATTTTAAATTTATTAAGATTCTATTATGTGAAGTCAAACTCTTCGATTACTATCTGAAGAGCAATTACTTACAGAGAGAAGCTAAATGAGCTTTAATAAATACTACCTCTAGCTTAGTGAACTGGCTGTTGCATTAATCCACTCTGGAATCATAGTGAGCATAGAGATTTGAGTTTTCTGCTGATAAAAAATGCAATAGGTCTTAAGAGAGCTTTTATCCGATCATATAGATACATCATAACCTGTAGCACTTTAGAGTTTGCAAGTTCTTCTTCTTAGTGAGTTTTCTCTGCTTGAGACATGAAAGTTTATAGCAAGATTTATTCATCTGAACAATTGCTCAATCAAAGAGCTGATATTTTGGATCTTCTCACAAAGCAACACAAGTCAGAGAGTGATCGTGATTACCTCTGAAGCATTTAGCTGAGCTTGATTAGCATTACAAGAGAAATAAGATTATAATTTATGCTCGATTGGGATTGTTCCCTCTATTTTAGATATACCTCTTTTTATGTTCACCAAGAATGTGTCTACTTTCTGCTGCTAAGCTTTACAACCAATTAGTTGGAGCTTTAGAGCCATCCAAAGTCTTTATGAAGACATAAAGATAAGAATTATTAAGATATTGAGTCATTTCAAAGTTTGCATTTTTGTGTTGCCCCAGATTTAAATCTGAAAATTATCAAAGGTGAATTCACCATTTTTGGGATTTGGAATTGCAACTTTTGCACCCATAAATAAGGAGCCAAGCTTTTAGAAATTGGCGAAGAATAAACCTCTGAGTATGAATCATCGTCCCTCAGCAGCTGCCTCAGAAGATGAGGATGAAGAATATTTTATACTTTCTTTGACCTAAAATAGCTAGTTTTCTTGGCACCTGAAATTTTACATTTTTGATGTTTACGCTGAGAGGTCCGAATCCATTTCATAATTTTTGCTCACACATTCGTACAGAATACTAGCCTGCTGGGCTCAATAGAGCTTGATAAAATATTGGATTTTTCTTTACCCTATTGAGATTTTAGAAAATCCGTTCTCCATGAATGGCTGGATGCTAAAATTTCAAGCATCTGATAATCTGCCAAGAACCTTTGTTCTGTGTAGCATTTAGGTTGAAACAAATACTCCCCATCCCATTTTATTCTTGGTTAGCTCTTTAGCTGAAATTTAGCTAATAATATATAGATATGAACTCAACAGCTTTTTGATTGTTGTGCGAGTGCTCTTATTCCGATCAACCCAAGGCAGAGATTTCAGCTGAAGATGACAAAGAACTCAGAAGTCAACTTCTCACTCAGAAGCCTGTTGAAGGCAAGTTAATCAAGTGAAAGAGCTAGCTTATTATTAAACCCCAACTCTCGTAGCACCATTGATGCTCTATTTAGGCTACTTTTCAGAATAACCTTCACACCAGAACGTCTGGATACCTTCACAGAAAGTTCGAACTCTAACTTTTTGATTGGGAATAGGCTGATTTCTTTTTCTCGTAGTTATCTTCAAATTAATGGATATAGAAATCAAAGAACTCTTGAGTGAATCTAACGACGAAGAAGCGAAAGAACCCAAAGCCAGGAGAGGCAGAGGTCGTCCAAGAAAATACCACAAACCTGAGTTTTATACAGGCAATATCAGGTTAGATGCTAATGACAAGAACCTCATTAGAGCTGTGAGAAGGGAGTTCATCGAAATGTTCAGAGTTTTCTGTGTTGACTCTGGGCTGTACCATTACGAGAATCTAAGCAAGGATCCACTACATCTTCAGAAAATGAAGTTTGAAATGCCTGATGATAAGTTCGAAGAAGCTATGCAGAGCTTTATCGGACACATTCTTGAGCAGGATGCATCTGAGGGTGATGATCCCACAACAGAAGAGCTCCAGAGCCTCAAAGAGTTCTTGATAGTTTTCATTGACTTCACAAGAGACTCTTCAGTGATGCTTCCTGGGACTACCAGGCTTTTAAAAAACGAACTACAAAGCCTCTTCTACTCTTACTCGCACAGAAAGTTCGGCATTTTCCTCGAGGTCCCTGAGATGAGGTTTGTAATGGCCAGAGTTCTCAACCCTGAGTACATAGGCACCTTGATTTCAAAGAACCCGACTTTAAATGAAAACGAAGATCTCTACAGAAAGTGTGCAGAGATAATCCTTGAGAAAGTGGACAGTCATAATGGAGAGAATGAGCAACAACCAGAAGCGTAATTTGTTTCTTTCCTAAGTTCACACAAAATATGAGTCTCCGGAGCTTGCTTCAAATCGATTGGCCTAGTCACTACAGTCTCCACCTAGTTTCTTAGCCTTAGGCTTTCCAGCTTAAATTTTATTTTTGGGGAATTAGCTAGGATTTTAATTAGCTGACTCTTAGTCCCTCTTGATCTGCTGGAGCTTCTTCTGCTCATTCTAAGCTTGGTTGGGTGGATAACGTAGTATTTTGAAGTCTGGATGATTAAACCCACCAATGTCTCCTCCTAATAACCAAATGTTATAGTTCCGTATCGTAGTGTTTTGACTATCAGTACTATCTTTTGCACACTTCTGTATGTTGCATGTTATCACCAATCTATGGAGGAGGCCAAATATCTTCAATACCTATTTTTCAAATTCAAGCTTTCTCATAATTCCCACTTCTTTCTCAGAAATATTTTAGGAAGAACAGTTTGGATATCTTCATCATAAGAAATTTAGAATAATTTTGATTTATTCCATTTGTATTTTTCACCACGGGGTTTTGGGGTTTTGGGGTTTTGGGGTTTTGGGG